CTTTTTATTGTCTGTTAACTTGGAATTCAGCTGAGTCCCCTAGGGTACATACTCATTAGCTGCCCAGCATGGATGTACCTTATACCTACAGTGCATAGTCAAAGAAAGTGTGGAATCTTGTAATGACTTGGCTCATCTCCAGCAGCTAATTTTAAAAGACCAGCAGTTGAGATGTGAAGTTTCCAGAGGTGAGCTGTGTTTGATCAGCTGTGTTTGGGCATCACAGACGCAACATCAGCTGTGATGTCAAGCATACTGTGCGCACATGATAAAATGTTTGAACAGGACTCTCTCTCCTTGGAGGATGACTTTGACCTGTTTTCATGAAATATTCAGCAGCATGCATGTATATTTAAAAATTCAAAGGCTGGCTAAAGTCTTAAAGGAATTCATTTAAAAACAATAATTTAAAAGGAGAGACTGTGCACCTTTGCCAATTTCCCCATCCTTTAAAATTAAAGAATCCAGCTTGTCCAATACGAATCCATGGAGAAAAAACAGGGTTCAAATTTCACCAGCTTCAGATCTATTTTGATTTGGTTGGTACTCTAGCATATTACAACATATATCTTTTACATACATATAGAAAAGGCATCGCATGAGCACAGTAAAACTAAACAGTAAAGTCTTACCAGTAAAATGGAATGATCTGAGGGCATAAGATACAATCACATTACTGAAGTTAAGAGTTCGGTGGTCAATGCCTGAATGAGAGATCACTAGAGAACTCTGTGTACACATTTTATGGGAGAAAGTTAAGTTGTTTTTAGTGAATACTCAAGTGATCCTATGCATCTAAAGTAATAGTTAGATGATTTAAAGCAAGAAGCAGCTTAGAATAAATCTTTAGTTTGTTCAACTAATGTTCCTTTATTTTTTAAAGATATCACTGCCCCCCACACTTATTCTTCCTGATCTTTTTAATTTCTGTTTGTGTTCCTTCCATCCTGATTTGTGTTCATAGTCCAACTGTTGGCCATTCACAATTTCATCCCTTCCTTCCATTTTTTATGTTCCCTTTATAGTCATCTTATTTAATTTATGTGTCTGAGAGTCAGGTTGTCTTTGTCTTTGTTTTATTTGTGAAGTACACCAGCAGATTTTGTATAATAATAGCTGCTTGGCTGAAATCCAGCTTTCTTGTGAAAGAAGTCACATGCTTGAAAGATAAGATCATTTTAATGGAGGAGAGCACTGGTGCTTGGGAAGAAGGACTCTGTATTTCTAGCATGTTGTTTATACATATTTTAATGGCGACTGGTCAGATCTAGAAGAATAATCAATAATAGCATGATAATGCCACTCAGTTTGACTCTTCAGTGTGCTTATAAGACACTGGGTTGTATCCAGTGTTAGTCCTACTTAGACTAAATACCAGAGTAAATTGTTATTTTTGCATTGCATTTGTATGCTACCTTTTTTCCTCTTGTGTGGAACCCAAGGCAACTTATACAGCTCCATTTTACCCTTTCAGCAAGTACACTGTGAAGTAGGTTAGGCTGAGTGTGTGTGACTGGCCCAAACTCACCCAGTGAGCTTGTTGGCTGAGTGGTGACTAGCACCTAGGTCCCCAGTGCAGCACTGTAACCACTGCACCAGCTATTAACTTACATGAACATTGAATACAATCCATTAGATACAATCAGATTATTTTAGCAATCCTGACAACAGTTATTTAAGATATGTCAGTCACATGCCTAACCTACTTCCAGCATTGTAGATGGGCAATTGAAAAATGAAAGATGATGGTTTGCCAAAGTCAAGCTAGTAAGTTGGTGACCAAGGCAACATTTTAGGCAGAGTCTTGCTGGTTTACCACATAGTACATCTGAGCCACCATGCTATGCTTTCTCTAATCAGAGATAGAGGGAGAGATGGGGGCCAGCACTGTCAATGGATGGAATTTATGCAGTTTTAGTAGGGCATGGTGTACATTCTGTCTAATTAATGTCCAGAAGCAGATCTTAGGGACTACTAATTAAAATTAAATGCTCAGTTTAGTTGCTTTGCATTTATGAATTTCTCCATTTACCAACCAAAGCCAGCATCCTCTATTTCTAATAAGACCGAGTGTTGGACTGATTCAGTGTTTATCAAGGAAAGTGTATCATTAATAAAGCTCTGAACAAGATAGTAACATGTCTCCTTTGTACAAGCAGAGCGGAAATTCTCTTTTGTGACAGAACTTATTCATCTGCACACAGCACCATTATTTCTAATTAGAGGGCTGGGAATACCATTCCAGCCATTTGACTATTTGAAACCATCCCATGATGCCTGATAACTATGGAAAAACAAAATGCCTTTAGGATTACAGATTGTAAAGAAGAGGCTGCTCTCATTTTTCTTGGTTCTACCGAATAGAGGGATGACTCATACAGCATCTAAACTACGTACACATGCTTAATAGAGAATCTAGTCTTAACCAAAATGTGTTGTTATTTCAGTTCAGTTTCCCCAAATTATAGCCTGAAAGTATACTATTTCCTCCAATGACACAGAAAGAGCAGCATGTAGTGCTACTCAAAACTTTTTCTTGTTGATATTTTCTTTTTGCTACTTTTTCATAAACTTTCATATTTTTGTTGAAGAATGAAATGTGAGCAGTCTGCCACAAAGCAAGCAAATGAAGTCGACCCTGTTCTCCATGAAGTACCTTTAATAATGGGTGTGAAAAGTTGAATCTTTGGCGAGAGAGTGCGTGCATGGCAATGTATATAGGGATTCTCAGGCTTTAGTGAAATTTATTTTTATATTATTGATATATTTGCTTTCAATGATCTGCTTGTGTTCCCCTTTCTCTCCAACCCTTGTCAAATAATTTTTTGGAGGACTGCACTTATACCATCCAGAAAAAAATAGTGATGTCTGAGCAAATATCAACTGTTTTATTGGAGCAGAGTGGTGTTGTTAACAATATTACAGTTATCGCAGTGTCAGTCTTTCCATTATAAGCTCCATTTTCAGAGTTTTACAGCCTGGTTGTAAAAGCCTGCCTCAAATTGAAGTTTGGCAAGACAAGCCTCAGTGTGGGAGTAAAACCTTTTAAATCTGATTTTTTCCCCCAGGGATTCCAGTATTACAAAACCATTCAATGTTATACATTATTATAGTCTCATAAAGATTATGAGAGTGGCAATGGTTACATCTGTTTTGGAGGACCCTATCTAGTCTACTTCAAAAGCCAGCATTCGGCCAGTGTTTTTGGACTTTCCCAACTTATGGTCACTCTATTCCAATTCATAGCATTGCCACCCTGCAAACCAAACATTTAGTACATCCCTTTAGCTCACATGACCTGGTAGGAGATGAGACATCCATGGTTCCTCCCACCTATTCTCTCTCCTGTTCTTTTGATGGTCTTTCCCCCTTAACTGTTGAGAAAGGGAATGTATAGGCTTGTATATAATATCTAGGTTGCAAGGTTGCTTCATTGTAATCAATTAGATCAGGGGTGCACCAACCACATCCCCACCCACCTTTCTTGCAGAAAGACCTCAGGAAAAAATCTTTTATGCAAAAATTCAGCATTATACAAGGAAATCCCATTCTTATCTTGGATCAGTGAAGGGAGATAAGATAAATGAAAGGTCATTTAAACTTTAGATACTCTACTGGTGATTTAAATTTAAATACCTTAAAATTTAGAATTCAGCTGTGCTTTTCATACCAGAACACTCTTGCACTGAGATTTGTATCTAAGTAAACATGCAGAGAATCGAGCTCTAGGGGGAAGGAACATGTCCAGCTTGGTAAGAATTAAATTTCTGTATAATATAAGCCCATTCCTCTTCCAGCACTCCCTGTGTCCTTCTAACTTAGATATCATTTTGTGCTAGAGATACATGGGTTGAAGAAAGGTTGCCACGTACTTGATTATCATCATGATCATCGCTGTACCTTGTAAGAAAATGTCAAAGCTACTTAGACCACTTGCCCAGCTGTTCTACTGGTTGCTTCCTCAGACTCCTCTTAAACCTACTTTGGTCAAAGCTTAAGCAGCTGCAGGCAGGGGTTGATAGGTGGGTTAAGGAAGTGATAAAACACTGAGTTGCAGGGGTTTGTGAACATAATACAAAAGAAGCCAGGAAATTCCCATTTCTGCACGTAGGTCTATACATCTGAATCTAAAGAGTGCCACATTCCTGTTTGTGCATCTCATTACTGGCAATTTTAGAAAGTTAATATTTCATATATATTCTGGTATATTCTGGTATATCTGGAATATTCTCAAGTTTCTGCTCAGAAGAATCTGAATATGCTTCTAGATACAAGTTTTACCTGTTTTCCAATCCAAACACTTTTCAGTTCAGTTGCTGAAATAATGCCAAATACTCCCATACAACATGACCACATGGAAGTCTGACTGACATCTGTCCAAAGGCTATTTTGGATGTTACTTTACAGTACTTATGGTCTTACCTGCCAGGCAATGTCAATTCTGTGAATTTCAAAATGTGTGGTAATTGTATGTCTGAGATACCTCTCCCATTTGTTTGGAAAGTGTCTTGTGAGAGTAACTGGTTGAGAATAAGGGAAGCTGGCTCACAGAAAATCCAGCCATTGGCCTATCGAGTTTAGGAGTGTCAACACTAACTGGGGCTGTCCAAGATTTGAGATTTCTCAGCTCTAACTGGAGATGCCAGGATTTGAACCTGGCACCTTCTGCATGAAAAGTGTGTGCTGTGGTACAGAGGCATTGCTCTTGTCTCTTCCTGCATCGTATATCTAGTGCAAGGAGGCATCAGTTCAGTCATTGACATGGTTTCCTGAGCCTCTATCACGATTGAGTTTCTATTGACCAGTTCCCAAAACTATCATTTGGTAGGTTCTCCACTCCCTTTAAGTGATGTAATCTTTGGCACAGAAGCAGAATGTCCAGCAAGCTTGTAAATTCTGTGAGCAATATTGTTCTAGTCATATAATTTTATAATCTGTGTTGCTGAGCTGTGCTAAAGAAGAATTGACTTTCCTTTCCATCTTTTAACGTCTCTCTGCAGCATCCTTTGAGTCCTTGCTCCGCTTTGCCGAGAACCATACGACCTCTCTGTTTGAGACTGTCTACAGATCCATGTCAAAGGAGGCAGCAGAGCCTGTCAAGGAGCTTTTTACGGACATCTCTCTCTACCTCTTGGGTGCTCAGACCAGAGTGGAAAAAGCTTTTTTCCGGTTCTTCGACAGCCTCTTTCCTTTGGTTTACAGCCGCCTAATAAATCCAGGGATTACAGATTTGTCTGAGGAGTACACAGAATGCCTGCGGCTAACACGGCAAGATATAAATCCATTTGGACGTTATTCTAAAGAAACAGTTACAGAGCTGGCGAAGTCTCTCAGGGCAAGCAGAACATTCAATCAGGCCCTAAGTGTGGGTATTGAAGTGCTGAATGCTACAGAGCATGCTGCATTGACAAAGGAATGCAGCAGAGCCCTAGTGAAGATGCAGTATTGCCCCCATTGCCAAGGCCTGACTCTGATACGGCCCTGTGAGGGATATTGCCTAAACGTGATGAGGGGCTGCTTTGCCAGCGTGTCGGAACTGGATGCTCCGTGGAGGGAATATATTTATACCCTGGAACATCTCAGTAATGAAATGGCTGGAGCTCATGATCTGGAATTGGTGCTTCTGGGTATCCGGTATTCGATCAACGAGGCCATTTTGCACGCACAGCTGAATGGGCCACAGCTCTCTGCCACTGTAAGTATTGCACTGCCGAACTGTTTGCAAATTCCTGGTATGACATTTAACCCTCCATGACTTTATTGCCTAATTGGTGTGCACTGCTAATTGGCAAATACCCATTGCTGATGGTGCCTTTATCCTTCCCGCACATGTCCATAACTATCTGGCAATTAGCCAAAAGCTCACCAAGAAAAAGTTGTTTTCAAAGAAAAGGGAGAAACTGCTTCAGAAGTACTATTATAATGTTGGTCTCCAGGTTGATATAACAGATGAAGACATACAGAAGGCATGAGATTATCAGTGAAAGAGAATAGATGTACTGCAAATTAAGAGCATGCTTATCTAATTCTGAGGTCATCTTGGGTCTAGTGTGCTGTTAGCGGTGAATAACAGTAAAATAATGAAGATGGGGTTTTCTTTCTGACAAACAGTGGGAGGTTCTGTATATTAAATTGTAATTTATTTTGCCTTTTTTTCAATATCAAAAAAACCTTGTCTAGATACATTTGAGCTAGGCAAATTTATTTAAACTTAGTCAATTAGTTATTTAGTTTTAAAGCAAATAATTTTTGCTGTCAGCACTAACAAATTGCATATGAATCATTGGAGACTGAAATATTTTTGAAGTCATAGAAAATTGCCCCTCCCTGCAAAAAAAGACTTAATTTAATTAATGGTTATAAGAATAGGTGATCTTTATCATGGATGGTCTGCTACTTTTTGGTTCCAATGAATTCCCAGTTTGTCCCAAAAAGTCAGAAATCCGAAGGGATGCTTTGCAGATGGCTGTGGTTTTGTGAAGTTTTTCATCACTCGTTATTTATTTGGGAGGGGAGAACACCCTAGCCAATCAGAAGCTGCTGCAGCCTCAGTAGAGGGGTGGTTCTACTTTTTTATCAGTGGTGGTAGCACATCATATGAATACTACTGGGAAGGAGGAAGATGGAAGAGGAAGAAAGGACGAGCAGCTGTCATTTTAACTTCTGAGCAAAGCTTCATGTTAGGTGCCATGAACTGCTGCCAGCTCACCTTAGGTTTAAATTTAATTTAATTTTTAAAAATACGGATCAGATTACATAAGCATGTCATCTCATGGTAAGAATCCCCTACGCTGCGCACCCACACTTAGCTGGTTGTTTAAAGAAAGAATCTTGGGTCTTTGGGCCATTGAATAATCTCTCTCAAGAGTGTCCCTTCCCCCCTCCTGCCCCCTCCCCTTTTTTAATAGCAGGAGTTTTCACTAGGTTTGGGGAAATAATTGCAGGTAAATAAATTGGAGAAAAAAGTGGAGGTATGCATTTTAAATATAAAGGGTACTGTCCAACTGGGCCAACTGACTTTGCACTAGCATAAACCAACATGTACAGTAAAACTGATGTTTGCTGGATCAGCAGTGGAAAGCTGGAATTTGCTGCAGAATTTCACAAAACTGTAGTGCTGCTGTCAAATTTCCCTGGCAAAATCACTGCCTTTCCCCATTGCCTCAGCAAGCACAAGTACGGCTTATGCTAATACAGCAGTATTAGCACTAGTGCAGAGGCACAATTGGATACTACCCGTAATATTTTTACAGGAACAATAAAACTGTTCTAATCCATCTTTTCAACATGCTGTGTATGTTTCTTATTAATTGCTAGGACTGCATAATAAATAATATAAGACCGTATAAGCTGACAAATCCTCTATGAAAAATTGAAATCCAGGCCAGAAATTAGAGAAATGATTAATGATGTGGCTGGCTTTACTGAGGTGGAATACAGCATTATTGTCAACATACCTATATGACAGCTGAGCTCAAAACAAGCATGAGGCTAATCTAGCCAAACACACAGAAAAAAAATCACATGGATTTGGATGAGTAATGTCTTTACTGAACTCTGGATAGTCTTTTGTTTTAGGATCTGGAAAACACTGGAAAGCACAGAGAAATAAATTAGGAAGGGAATTCAGCAGTGTCTAAATCAGAGGTGGGAAACTTGTGCTTTCCAAATGTTTTAGCCTGCTGCTCATATGGTCTCACCTTTGGCTATGCTGGCTAAGGGTCTTGGTGGTTGTAGGCCAAACAATTTGGTGGGTCCCAAGTTTTCTAAATGTTTGGTATGAGGGAGAAACTCTAAACTTAAAAATCTAAAACATTCTAAGCTGAGGGAACAAATATTTAAACCAGGCAACTGATTTGTGCTATCATGAAAGGTTAACAAATTGTTAATTATTTAGGATAAAACCTACCAGAAGAATTGGTTGATACCTACCAGATGGAAGGCTCCATTTTTGGAGGCTTCCAAATATTCTGTGACCTGTTGGGCTCCTGCTGGCAAGGCAGGAGGAAGGCAGAAGAGAGGGTGGAGGTAGGATGTGCGGGAGAAACTACAACAGCCAAGGATATTCAGCATGAAGGGAAAGAGATGCAAAAAGGATAAGCAAGGGGGACTTGAGAGGGACCAGGAAGAGTGTTCACATGCACTGGTGCTGCTACAGCAACTCTTGGCTGTGGCAAGTAGTCAGATTACAGACTGGATAAGCACCTTGGAGGAAGGAAAGCCTTTGCTTGTTCTCTCTATTGGCACCTCCCAGTCAGGCAGTCAGAGGTAACAATGGCTGGGAGATTGAACAGAGACTTGGGTGTTAGATACAAGCTGTCGAGGGACTGTCAGAAACGCCAACAGCAGACCTGGGCTTATTGTGGGTACTCATTCTGAAGTTCTGGGAGTCAAAGGTTGTTTCCTGGAGAGGAGATTGATTCCATGATGTATGCTGCCAATCAGGCTATTGTTTATGCAGCACTAATCCCTTTTGGGTTGAAATTTAAGTGGATTTTGGTTAATGTAATTAGGAGAGCCTTTAGTAAAATTAATTCAAATGCTTTTTGACAGAGGTCTCACTTATGGAAGCAATTGATCAAGTGGGAGTTGATGTTCTTCTTTCAGACCTTTTAACAGGGAATGTGCCATTTGCTGCTTGAGTAGAAAAATGTCATAGACTCTGTAACACTTGTTTTCTGCCATGAGAGATAGATTTCAGTCATTATAAATGTATGTATTGATATAGTGTAGTTCTATCCCACCTTCCCTCCAAAGGGCTCAAGGTGCTTGCAGTCTGTAATATTTGCAGTGCATGTTATTTGGTCTAATGTGTATGTTTGTTGGTGCCTTGGTTTGGCCTAAAGCAGGGGACTGCAGAGTGTTGGGCACAGAGCAGCAAGGTAACCCAGATGACAAAGCAGCTAGGAGAGCTCCTAGGAAGCAACTGGCTCTGGCAAGGTCTGAGACCCTTTGCAGTCCAGTCTAGAAGTCTCTTTTACAAAATGACAAATCTTAAAGGGAGGGCAGCACTTTTATCTTTCCAAGAACTCATGTTGGCCACACTGCAGGAATGGGCCCACCAGCTGCATGAAGTGTGGAGTTTTTGGAGCTGGAGCGTTGCCCTAGTTCTGGAGCAGGGTTCCAGATTCCAGGGTTATTTGGTTCAGGCTCTAGGGTCTTGGGGTTTTCTGGCATCTTGGACTTAAGGGCCTTTGTTCCACTAGAACCCCTTCAGTTCACTGCAAGCCTATGGGATCATAAAATTCTAGCAATAAGTAAAGCTGTCATTTTTGCATGAATTCTTTACCCATAATTCCATTCAGTTTCTGTATTTTTCTATAATTTTTAAACATTTCTCTCAAAATGCATACTTAAGAGTGTGTGCGTGTATGTGACCTACTATATTTACACTTCAAGAATGTGTGTCTTCTGTGAAATTTGCTTCTGAAACAAACTTTGCACCTGGTATTATTAAACAATAAATATGGTCATTATGGAAAATAACTTCAAATACAAGACTCCTTCTGGTGGCTTTTATTTACCCTGAGGCTGCTGTCATTAGCAGCCATGTTCACTTTTTAGGAAATGGTTAACATTTTTTAAATAGCTAGGCAAAAGCTAGGCATTAACATAAAGAATTTCTTTTCAGCTAATTGAGTACTTGGCAATGAATGATGGAAAGTTCGCTATTTTTACGTTGTTGGGGAAGAAGGTTAAGTAAAGCATTTACTGTACTTAATAGAAGAACCCACCACACTTGGGGGGGTGGGGGGGGAGAGAGAGAGAGAGAGAGAGGAGGAATGCCCTATGTTGCACTTCAAGAATGACCTATAGTGATCTTTGCCATTTAAGCCAAGGGAGCTGCCTGAATTACCTGCCTGATATGTACACAAGGTTGCCATTAAGATATTAAACCACTCTCGGGCTCTCTGCATTCTCTATAGCATCCCATGCCATTTGTTCAATGATGCTGGCTTTTACCCAACTACTTCAGCTAATGTAGGTCCTCCATGGTCTGCAGCATCAGCAATCACAGCCATCATTTTCTGTTCCATCTGCTGGAATCTAATTGTGTGTCATACTGGAAGAAATCCCATGTACTCTATGGTGCCAGATAGATTGACTTAGCTTGTTGACTTTTGCCATCACTTTTGAAGTGTATTCTTTCTTTTTCTGTTCACTGTTGTATTTAGATTTTGAAGCCCTTTGTGCATATTTTATTCTAGCATAATTCTATGAAGCACAGAGTGATTCCTTTCAATTTTTTTCCTGGTTATGTTCAGAAATAGGCAACAACACTGTTCACCACACTCACAAAATAGCAAAGTATTATTATGCATGCCATGATGAAGTGCATTTGTTCCTTTCCTATGTGATCAGTATCATATGCAAATATTGCTAATGTTGGAACAGTCAACAGAAAAGAACTCAACGATGTGTTTAGCCCAATGTAAACTTTACATTTGCATCAACAGATTTAAGCATGAATCAGTGATCTGAGTTGCACAACCGGACAAATACATATGGGAAACCATCTAACTTATTTCTTGCTTCCAAGCCGTCTTGACTTAACCCATTGCCTACTCTAGCAGTTGTTCCACCTATGATGGGTAGTTGTGTCAGCCAAAGCTGGTAGGGCAATTTTCTCATGGGTGCTTAGGAACATCTGCTTAGGAACATCTGAGTGGCCAGAGTGGCCAACCCCCCTGCTAC